TATTTTTATAGTTTTTTATATTGAGCTACACTTTTGTTTGTACAGTGAAAACTATGTTCAATAATAAAACTATAATTTTATTTAGACATGGTAGATGTCCTGAAAAAACTGGTAGTAACTCAATGTAGATACACATAGTCGATGGAGTTACTTGCTAATAACTGGCAATGAGACATATTTGCTTCAAATGATGCCTTTAAATTTTGAAAAGGTTAGTTTATTATGCTCGTCTTAAATGGATAGTTTTTATATTTTAATTATAAATCAGTGTCTGCTTTAATATAATTATCATAAAAACTAGGCATCTGAAAACATTCCTGCAATTTAATATCATGATAGTGACTTACTCTTGTCTTTTTCATGTTTAGATTTTTTCTAATTCAAATGTCAACTTTTTGTTACATGAAAAAAGATACTTATTTCAACCCCTCGACTATATTGGTAGGTAGAGCATTAGTCTGAAGTTGTATTTAAGCTTACTGTTTATTAAGTTTTACTTTTTTCAAGAAAAGCACATAATATGACTTTATTTTTATATAGCTTTTTAAGAGTAGTTACATAACTTTTCAAATTAAACAATGTTTTTGCTGTTTTTATCTGTTAAATTATGTTTTAATATTAAAATGAATTTTACATTTATTCAATGCAGGTACACTTAGTATGTGGAGTTACTTGTCAATAGCTGGCGATAAAACTTTTAAACGTAACGTCTTTAAGGGCTGAGAAGGTTAGTTTGTTTCGTTATAATAGCTCTAAACTGAAATGTTTCAATATTTTGATTGGATATTGTTGTCTGCTTTTAGGTAAAAATTAGAAGTCTGCAGACTGCAACGTAAATCGATTTCAACACGATATGGCTTCTCGAATATATTTAGTTTCCGATTGAAATGAGAATAAACTGAACTTATATATAAAGTGTTATATAAAGTGTTTACAATTAACTTTTTAAACTAGAAATACTCCAAAGGAGGTTCTCCAAACGCAAGTTAAGCAAAGTCGATAAATGTTAATAACTTTTATATTATGTTTTAGATATAAAAAAAAATTTATGTGACTTTAATATTTATGTTATAATTGTAAATTGCAATCTTAAAAGGATTTTATTATTACTTCAGATTGTTCTTTTTGTTCATATATTTGTTCACCGAGCTTAAGTGTTGCAACGTATGACCTAATGATTTACAGTTATGGTAGTGTTTCTTTATGTTATGAGTATCATTTACTAAATTTGTGTTGATTTATTAAGTATTTAATGGCTATATACCTAAGCACAAAGTTAAAAGGTATTTGATGTGCTTTCCAGGCTTAAGCAGGGTTTGCCATTCTTTTCAGCGTAAAAATTGAGCTAAAAATATTTAAAAATTTCCTTTAAGTGCGTTTTGTTCAAATAAAAAAAAAAATAATGATATGCATATTAATGCATTCCAATATTGATCAAAACATATAAAAGGTCCTATGTTATTCCGCTATCGTTTATACATCGGTTTGCCGCTGACGGACCGTTGTTAAAAAGTTTGCGATTTGCCGCCATCGGACCGCTATCGAGCCGCCTGCAGATTGCTGCTAACGGACCAATGTAAATACAATGTGCAAGCCTACGCGGCAACGCAGCGGGCGGCCGACGTCGACACGGCATAAGTGCTGACAGCGGTCCGTTGTCGGTCCGACTGCTCAATGTTTGCTGGGTTATATGGGTTAAATATGCGCTCTACATTGTATAATATATATTATATAACGTAAAACGCAATAATTAATAATAATGATACGTAGTAGATACAGATATTTCCCATTATATATATATATATATATATATATATATATATATATATATATATATATATATATATATATATATATATATATATATATATATATATATATATATATATATATATATATATATATATATATACGTATACATATATATATATACATACATATATATATATATATATATATATATATATATATATATATATATATATATATATATATATATATATATATATATATATATATAAATATACGTATACATATATATACATACATATATATATATATATATATATATATATATATATATATATATATATATATATATATATATATATATATATATATATATATATATATATATATATATATATATATATATATATATATATATATATATATATATATTATATACTTTCATAACTCATCATGACATATGAAAGTATATAATTATCAATATAAGTCAATATACATCTATATAAAGTCTATAATTTATTTTTTAAATCAAATATATGTATTTCAAGTTGTATTAATATTACAACATATCAATATTTGTATATGAATTTACGTATCATATATTATATAATATTAAGTCAATATATAATTCAATATATCAAGTTATTATATAATATAATATTATATATGATACGTAAATTCATATACAACATATCGTACGTCATATGATATATCATATGACATGATGTTATATATGAATTTATGTATCATATACAAGTTGTTGTATAATAATAATATAAAACAACTTTATTTGATACGTAAATTCATATATAACATATGATACCATTCATACATAGCCTATAATATGGTACCTAAATTCATATGTAACTTAAAAACTTCATATAGTAATTAATTTTGTATATAACTTGAAATATATATTTGAAATAAAATGTGAATTATAGACTTTATATAGTATATACTATATAAAGTCTATAGTTCACATTTAATTTCAAGTTATACATGAAATTGAATATAAAATAACATAGAGAGTTTTATATGACTCATATACTCTTATTATGAGTCTTCATAATATATTATATTATAAATACTCATATATCTAGATATACGAGTATTTATAATATAATATATTACTCATAATATGTAACATAACATAATAAAGATATCTTTATATTATATAAAGACGTATAAACTATATGAGTATATATATTCCACAACTTTTCATTTAATGTTTAATAACTTTCCATTTAATGTTATTCTATAACTTTATATTATTTTGTAACTTTCACTATCTATTTGATATGAAATATACAAAGTATATATGTTTTTACTTGAGTCTATATATATAGTTAATAAACTTAAGTAAAAAATATATATACTTTTTGTATTTCATTTCTAATAGATATGGAAGTTATAGCTTTACTGTATATTCTAAGAATAAGACTCTTAGTCTTGGAGTATACAGTAAAGCTATAAGTTTATAAGTAAACAGTTAGGTAAACTTAAACAGTAAAGCTCATGTTATAATTTTAGGCATGTAAATTATTTGCTAAATAAACTTTATTTACATGCCTAAAATTATTATTTAATAAAGTTTCTTTTCATTTTAGAGTTAACTCTTACTAAGCTTAGTAAGAGTTTACTCTAAAATGAAGAGTTACCTCTTACTAAGCTTAGTAAGAGTTAACTTGAAAATCAAGAGAAACTTTATTAAATAAAAATTAAGGGAAGTAAATAAAGTTTATTTACATGCCTAAATTTTGGGCATGTAAATAAACTTTATTTACTTGCCTAAAATTATTATTTAATAAAGTTTCTCTTCATTTTAAAGTTATTTAATAAAGTAACATTTAATTTAACAAAGTAACATTTTTAAAGTTATTTAATAAAGTAACATTATGAAAAAATAATTTTTGGCTAAAATTATTTTTTAATTATGTTACTCTCTTAATTTTAGAGTTACCTCTTAGTATTTGATAAACACTAATAAAATAAAACCATATATCGATATCGACCAATCAAAGTCTCATGGCACTTGAAACGCTTGCTTTTGATATTTTTTACGACAGCTTACCGCCATCAAAAAGCTCACTTTGGCATTGTGTGGGAAAACCTACAGCGTATCCTGATGAACTTACCGAAGCTGGCATGCCCATTTAAAATTGCATTGGCGACGAAGTGTTTTACCGCCCTTCGGCCGATGGGGGAAAGCCAACATAAAATAGGAAGCCGGTCCTGCATCAGCTACCCGGCAGCGGCAAACCGCATTAGGCATAACAAAGGGTCAGCACTGGCTTACCGGCGGCGGCTTTGCGTATCACGGTCGGCTGAAAGCATGTTTGCTGGGATGGCGCTTGAAATGCTTACTTTTGGTGTTTTTACGACATCTTACCGTTATCCGGGAGCCATCTCGGGCATTGTGTTGGCAAAGCTAAAGCGTATCGTTATAAACTTACCGAAGCTGGCATGCCTATTTAAAATCGCATTGGCAACGAGGTGTTTTATCGCTCTTCGGCCGATGGCGGAAAGTAAACACAAATTAGCCTGCCGGTCCTACATCAGCTACCCGGCAGCGGTAAGCCGCATTAGGAATTACAAAGGGCCAGCACCGGCATTCCGACGGCGGCTTTCCGCATCGCGGTCCACTGAAAGCATGTTGGGTATATATATATATATATATATATATTCATATACATGTATAAATTATATATAATATATATAGATATATATATATATATATATATATATATATATATATATATATATATATATATATATATATATATATATATATATATATATATATACATATATATATATATATATATATATATATATATATATATATATATATATATATATATATATATATATATATATATATATATATATATATATATATATATATATAATATATATATATATATATATATATATATATATATATATATATATATATACCTAGCAAACATGCTTTCAGCGGACCGCGATGCGCAAGCCGCCGCCGGAATGCCGGTGCTGGCCCTTTGTGATTCCTAATGCGGCTTACCGCTGCCGGGTAGCTGATGTAGGACCGGCAAGCTAATTGGTGTTGACTTTCCGCCATCGGTCGAAGAGCGATAAAACACCTCGTTGCCATTGCGATTTTAAATAGGCATGCCAGCTTCGGTAAGTTTATGACGATACGCTTTAGTTTTGCCAACACAATGCCTGAGATGGCTCCCGGATAACGGTAAGATGTCGTAAAAACACCAAAGGTAAGCATTACAAGCGCCATGAGACTTAGATTAATCGATTTTTATATTTTATTCTGTAGTATATAGTCTATGTAAAACAGTAAGTAATAAATAAATAGTATTTAAAAAAAAATCAAACTAGTCTTTTTATTTTTAAGTCTTACAATATAGGTTATATATATTAAATCTACATCTATACTTTAATAAAGTATAGATGTAGATTTCATATATATAATCTATATTGTATATTTTATAATGTAAAGTCCGATTTTTTTTATTTATTAAATTATATTTTTTAATATGAAGTCTTTATATTATAAAATATACCTAGTTATAATTATTGCTTATAAATATTAAAAGTTACATGATTTTATACCTTTATCTATATTTATAAATTATAAATATAGATATAAATATAATATATTATAATATTATATAAAGTATACTTTACTATATATTATATTATAATACATTATATTTATATCTATATTTATACTTATATATTATATCTATATCTATACTTAGTATAGATTACTATATATTATATCTATATCTATACTTAGTATAGATTACTATATATTATATCTATATCTATACTTAGTATAGATATAAAGTATAAATATACATATAGGTTCAATATATATATTTATAAGACTCAAAATTAAAATTCTAATTTGATTTTATTTTAAACATGTATAACTTTGACAATATTGTTACAGTTATGTAACAATATTATTATAATATTGTTACATAACTAATACATATATTATAACCATATTAGTATAACATTGTTCTTGTTATATTAAAAGTTACATGACTATTCATATAACTTTTAATAAAACAAGAACAATGTTAAACTAATATGAAGTTATATGTATATATATATATATATATATATATATATATATATATATATATATATATATATATATATATATATATATATATATATATATATATATATATATATATATATATATATATATATATATATATATATATATATATATATATATATAATATAAACATTTTTAAATATGTACCAGCTTTAGTAAATAAAACAATTTATGTAAGTTTCAATAGTGAGTTTTTAGACAAATCGACGAAAAATAATAGCTGATGTTGAATATTGCCTAAAAGATCTTACCATTCAGGGTTATTGTTGAATATTGCCTAAAAGATCTTACCATTCAGGGATCTTACCATTCAGGGTTACCATCAAGTAATATTTCACATTCACCAGAATAAGTTCAATCATTGTATTTAAAAAGTATATCAGTTAAAAAACTTTCAACTGAGAGTGCTGTTCCCTAAGGTGCAAATAATATTGATTGTGAAGTGAACTCTGACATTATTCTATTGATATTAAATATTGGCATTAGACAAGGTATTTTAAGTAATAATTTAAGTTTTTTAAAGAAAAAGGATTGTATACCAAGTCAAGTCAACATTGATGATTTTCCATTGTTTAAAAGCAACATTGGACAATTTTGGCCAATATTAGGTTTAATAAAAAATATGGATAAACAATATTCAACACAATAAAACCCCATTTAAAATTAGTCTTTTTTATAGTAGGTATAAACCAAAAAACCGTAATGAATTTCTAAAAATGTTTGTTAATGAAAGTATTGCTTTATTTGATTCTGGTATTAGTATTAATTGTCGAAGTATATAAGTTTGCTATATCAGCTTTTATTTGTGGTACACCAGCTAGATTATTTATAAACAGAAATAAAGGACATAAAGCCTATTAATAAAGTTATGCAATAATTAATGGCATCAATTTGATATCTATTTTTTTTTTTAATTTTTAAAAAAAATATTCTTTAGTATATATATTACTGATGCTTTTTCTATTTTTTTTGTAGATAATAGCTGTGGCAAGTAAAGGAGGATGTCCAGAGAATGTCCTTTGCATTATTTACTAATAACCTCTGCTGTAAACTTAACTGGTCTGGTATTACCATAAATGACAATGAAAGTAACTTTGTAAAACAAAGACTTACACTTGCTTAAAAGTAATTTTTTTGAGGGGCTTGTTACTCTAATTTAATAATTACTTGTGTCTAATTTAGTAATTACTAATCTATTTGTTGATAAATAGTTGATAAACAAATAAAATTTATTTATTAACTATATAAAAATAAAAAATTAATAAATACATAAATAAAATTTGTTAATAAATTGCTTTAAAAAAATTTCTTTATATGTCTGAAATTAAGTCAAAAAATATATTTTTTGTTTTCCTGCTAGATAGTTAAATAAAAGTCTTAAAATAATTTATAGGAGCTGTAAAAAGAAATCCTGCAACAACTTCAGCAACTGAATCAGATTTTCAATATGAGGTTGTGCGTTTTTTGCGTGGTGCATGAGACCACAATGGCAGAAAAATAGTTAGACAAGACCAAAAAAAAAAAAACAAGCCAAGAAAATGATGCCTACATCAAGTTTTCCAATGCAATTAGATAATTTAGTTCAGAAGATGAATAACATTGCTAAAAATATAAGCATCTTT